AATCATGCCCTGTTTACATGCAAGCATACATATCATATCGAGTCAGTTCTATACATGAGCCTCTGCTACTAATTTTTATGTAGACAGACACATCTATTTTTCTATTTTGATAACATGAGTAAAAGTTACATGCACAAATCAACTAGTAGAATGATTGATCAGTAGTTTTGCATTCAACTGAACCAGAAACGAAGTCAATCATCTAGAATTTACCACAAAGTCTGAATAAGAAATAAAGTATAAGAGAAAAACATACCATTCTTCTCCCAGTCGATTCCACATCTTGCAGTGTACCATATCAAAAGAGAGGTATGGGAATGGCAAGTGTCTTGATGCAAATGAACCAACGATGGCAGGTAGACCTCTCTCAAGAGTAAGTTGAACTTGACTACCTGAGGGCTCGTAGTTTGCGATGCACATTGTTAGAAGCTGTTTTGAGAAAAGATGCGCTCCTAAGCTGCCGAAGCCACACCCAATATCTAACACAGTTATGGACTTATCTATTATATATGCTAATATATACAGGTGTATGGATCTGTGATTAACCAGAAAATGGACTCATCTTTGGAGACCATCTCATAGCCTTCAATGGCAGCTAACCTTCTGAAAATTTAATGAGTATGGATCTGTGATTAACCAGAAAATGTTTTCTACATTTTAACCCTTACTAGATGAACCATCGGGATAATAGTAATAATAATTTAATGAGTATGGATTCTAAATGGGTTTGAACTATAGAAGGACTTAAAGTGTAATTGATATTTCTTGACAAAACTCTAACTTCAAAGGATTATTCTCTTCAAATCAAGTGAAGGCAAATGGGAGGGACTAAATTTGAACAACCCATAAAATTCCAGGACTTAACATGAACTTCAAATATGTGAAGGACCACTTCAGAATATTAAAGATTTAAGGAACCAATATTGAAGAGACCCATAATAAAAACAAATCCTGAATAGGAACGAAGGAACATTAATAAAGCATTTAAAATTAAGGACAGAAAAATCGACAAATTAAATCCAGATATGTTGCTGTATGAAAAAAAATGAAGCGAAACCAACAATTAATGAGATGGGTATTATTCACAAATTGAAAATTACCGATCTGGCTATGAAAGAGGATGGCGGAGGCGCGAAACTTGGGAATTTCTAGGTTTTGATCGCTGATGACAGGGAACAGGTGTTCGAGGATGAAGAAATCGAGGAAGGCGAAGGGAGTGATCGACTTCAGCTCCCCATTCAATGCGGCCCTCACCTGCAGATCCACTCTGTAACGGGCATCGGGGCCGAAATCTATGAACCCGTCCTCTCCCTGCATGCATTGAAGAATCAGGAACTCGACTGATCAAGAAATCAAGAAAACCGACGGAATGATGAGGACCAGGAGTAACCTCGAGATCGGAGAGAGAGAGGAGAGAGGGAGAGTGGGGCGTCGTGGGTTTGGTAGCAGCGGAAATTTTTGGGGTTAGGGTTTTTTTCCTCGGGGCGGGACCAATGAAATTTGGGGGAGGAGACGAATGAAATTTCGGGGCGATCTGTTTTAATTTTTGGTCTCCCGCTTAAGTATTCAACGCATCATAACAAAAAAATTTGCGATCCAAGTATTTATAGCGTTTAAAATTTTTCAAACGCTATCAAAAAATAAGGCACATACTATCTATAGCACTTATAATATAAACGCTATCATTCAACGCTATAAAAAAACAGTTTTGTTGTAGTGTCTCAAACCTTCAATCCCCATGAAGGAGGATATCAACTATTCATGATTCACTCGCTAAGGAGACAAACAAGGGTGCAACATAACCTGAAATCATTCCGAATGCCTGAAGACGTGTATTAGCCAAGCAACACACGCCCCTCAAAGCTTCAATCCCCACGAAGGAGGATATCAACTCTTCCCGATTGACTCACCAAGGAGACAAACGAGGGTGCAACATAACCTGAAATCGTCACGAATGCCTGAAAACGTGAATTGGCTAAGCAACACACGCCTCACAAAGCTTCAATCCCCACGAAGGAGGATATCAGCTCTTCCCGATTGACTTGTCAAGGAGACAAACAAGGGTGCAATACACAGAATACCAAAAGTTATGAAGGCTTTCCCCCGTATGAAGAAACTACAGGAGCCTCCTTCTCATTATGTTGAGAAATAGAACGACTCCTATGAAAGCGTGATCGTCGTAGAGACATAGCTAACCTACAATGAAAATCAACGAATCAAGTACAATCTCAATTTCAAAAACCTGAAATTAAAAAGGGAAATTATGAACTTTAACTAAAAAATCCTACAAATAAAATTGGATTTTACGGTTAAAGTCTAATTAAATCTGCATGATCCAATATGCCAACAACGGGTTTAAATTGCGTTCAGGACCCTCATGATCAATTTTGGGTGAAATATCTGAAATACCTCTCATGCTCAAGGCTCAATGCTAACCATGAGCACACTCAAAATTTGGTTATGCTTGAAGGGGGGAACCTATCACCCTCAACACCAAAATTTCAGCCCCTTTTTGCACATAAAAGCTCCAAAGAAATTCGGCCACCTTTTGCACATAACCCCCCTAAAGAAAGTTTGGCCAATTGTACAATATGGCGCCTCAAAATTTTGGCCATAAACTCACATCCAAACCCCTCACAAAATTTTAGCCATGGGTATGCAACCTAAGCCCCCGAAGTTTGGCCACTTTTGTAATAAAACCCCTCACAAAATTTTAGCCATGGGTATGCAACCCAAGCCCCCTCAAAATTTCAACCATATTTACAACCAAGCCCACCAAAATTTTGGCCATGCCTACTTCACAACCAATCCCTTCAAAATTTTGGCCATGGTTTTGAACCCAACATTCATCACATCTATCAAATATAATGTTGAACCATACTCACAAGACCAAAGTTTCAACCTTTACATCCAAAACTCATGAATTCATGAATCAAAACCAAACAAATGCACAAGAGTTATGGAGAGGAGCTTACCCAAATCAAAGCTTAATAGCCTAACTCAAAAGAAGCTTGAGAACCAAACAAATCCAACAAATTCAAGCTCTAGATTTTAAGGAGGAGGGCTTGGCAAATTTATGATGGAATTTTTTAGGGTTTGAGGGATTTAAAGTGAAGGGTTTAAAGGGTTTTAGAATCCTTAAAGAAGGAAAACTATGGGTTATGAAGAGTTCTAAAAAGAAAGAAGCTTTAAGGAAGAAGATAAGAAAAACAAGAGGGAATTTAAAATTTGAGGGGGAACACCAATATCCTTTAGACAAAACCCTAAACCCTCATTTTCTCTCTCCTAAGGCCGGCCTACTCCTCTTTCTCTCTCCCTTATCTTCTTTCTCTCTCATGAACCCTCTCTCTCTCTTGCTTGGCCGAGACTATCTCGGCCAAGCCGAGACTGTCCCGAGCCTAAGATTCTATCCCAAGCCCAAAATAGGGTCCCACGTATTTAAAATGTTGTATTTGGTCCGTATTCACCCGTTATTAGCCATTCCGGTATATTTGAAGATTATATTCACACTCCGATGAGTATACGAGTCTAAATTGTATCTCCTTGAACCTTTAACGGGTACACGAGGTTAAATTGAACTCCGAAACTCCCAAGAATATATGAGTATAAACTGGTCTTCCCCGTTCCAATGCCTTAAGAGCTTAAACTGTATAGACTCCAGTCAACGTACGAGTATAAACTGTTTTTATGCCGGTTAACACGTAGCCGTGAGTCAACGTTGGTCAACATGTTGCAATGAAGATCAACGTCGGTCAATGCGTAGTCGTGAGTCAACGCCGGTCAACACGTTTGCGATGAAAGTTAACGCCAGTCAACGCGCAGCCATGAGTCAACGTCGTTCAACGCGTTGTGATGAAAGTCAATGTCCATCAACATGTAGCTGTGAGTCAATGTCAGTCAACGTGTTGTGATGAAAGTCAACGTCGGTCAACGTATTGTATTGAAGGTCTATGCCAGCCGACGCATCGACGATTTTTGCCAAAACAAGGCTCAA